CTAATGTCAGCGTTGGAGCCAGAAGGCAGCCACATCTGGGGCTTCATTTGCTTTGCTGTCTGCCAGTACTTCAGCAGCGCCGGGAGCTCCCGGGTGAACATGCAGGGCTGGACGTTTCATTTCTGTCATCTTCATTCTAGCAGTCGTTGTTTCGTCGTATATTGTATGTTAGCCTGTGCTGAGCGTTGTCCTGGGATTTTCTCCTTCCATCTTCAGGACGACGGTTGAAAGTTGGGGGCTCATTCAGTTCTGAGGGGTCAGTTTTCAGACTGCACGTGTGAGAGCTGTGAGCTATGGGGCTGCATTTGAGACTCCTGGCCTGCCTGACCCCACCGCCCATGCTCACAGCCACCATGCCCGACGTCTTATTCCAGAAGTTCTCGTTCATTCTCACGGGGACGGTCCTGGATGTGAAACATCCAGGAAAACATGGGAAAGTGTTACAGACTGTCTAGACTCCCCACTCTGGCCGTGCCCTCCTGATCTGAAATACCCTGTCTCCCTGACTTCTGCTGCAGACAGCCTGCCAGGAGATGCCTCAGGAGTCTTGAACCATGTGTGCACTTTTATTCCTAGAGAATGTCTAAAATCCCTGCCTCCTTTCCACCCTAGTCCCCTGGGACAGACAACCTTGGCCTCCAAGACAGGAACCTGGGGGGCCTCTCACCTCTCTGCTCTGAGCCCTGACTAACCCCCAGGCGTCAGCCTCCTGCTTTCTTCTCTCCTGGAACACACACGGCCCCTCCAGCCACTATATGTGAATCTCTTCCCGCCTCCGAAACCCCCACCATGTCCAGTGCAGGGAGAAGGCCTGTGTCCTCCCCGCCGCCTCATTTCTCTGCTGATTCTGGATCTCAGGAGTCTGGCCTCCTTCCTGGCCCCTCACCAAAAGCAGTTTGGAGTGGGGGTAGCGGCAGGCAGCACGCAGCACAGGCCACCTCAGACACTGGCTGTGGACAGGCGAACAGGAGGACTTGGGTCTTACTCCACTTCAGAACTGGCCTTAACAGAAGACTGACAGCTGCACAGATCCCTTAAATGTGGAGATCTCTACTAGAAGCATAATTAATTTTTCTAATTAACCTAATACTTGATTAAGACTACTAGCTGCCTTTGAAGTTTAACCTTGAAAGCACTGCTATTTGGAGTATTTTTCTTCAGAATGATTTTGTGGCATCGGGCTGTCTGCATTATGTAACACCTTAATTTGTTTCCGTTTGTTCCTTGTGTCACCTCAGACGGTGATACATTTCTTGAACTCCCTGGTATTTCAGATCCCACCTGCAGTCAGGGAGGATGGGGCTTTTCCTGCTCTATTCTTTCGGCTTCTTAAAACAAGCACCAGAAACAAAATGTCTGCGGTCAGTGTTTACAGGTAATTGTGTCAGTGAGGCATAATACCAAATCAAATCCAGTTTTGCTTCCCATGGCTTTTTTGGCAGTCCTGTTAGTGGCTACATTTGGTCTTGGCAGAAAAAGAACATCTGTGACTCAGAGCTCCAAAGGGACAGATGATTGACCAAAAGATGCTATTTCAAAACGAGCTGATTTCTCCCAGGCTTTGCCCTATGCTGGTGTCACCAACAGCAGCGCGGTGTATAGCTCAGCTGGGCTGCTGGACGGGGCACGTTTCAGATTGTTTCTCCCTCCCTGTCTCCTTCCCACTCCCTTTCTCACCTTCTTTCCTTTCCACCCTTGTAGTGTTTGTACTGATGGATGGGACTTCGCTGGCAGTCCGGTGGTCAGGACTCGTCACTGTCACTGCTGTGGGCCTGGGCTCAATCCCTGGTCAGGGAACGAAGATACTGCAAGCCACACGGCACAGCCAGTGTGTGTGTGTGTGTGTGTGTACCAACACAGATATTCAAATTACAAAACTAATTTAATTGCTGTAGATAAGTTTCAAATTTGACTTTAAATTTCCTGAAGCCAAAGATAAAAGAGGAACAGAATCAGCTATGTAATTCTCATTTTCAGAAAGAAGAAAATGTATCAGTTCTTTGGAAAGTAGTTCAGTGTTTCTTAGTGTTTCATTCTAAACCATTTGTATGTGAGGCTTCAGATAGCACCGAGAGAGACTGAGGACCAAAATGCATGGTCACCTTCCTGTCATGGCAGAAAGGATTCCATCTGGCTGCTTTTCAGTGAGTTGAGGACTGTCATAGAGGACTGGCCCCTGCCCTGGGTCTTCTGTCATCACCCAGGGTTCTGGGTGAATCCTACCATGTCACATGCCATAGCAAAGAGTGGGCTTTACTGGGGCAGGGAAGGATCCTCACCAGACCAGGGGCGGCTGGAGAGAGGGGAAGGCATGAGCTCCCCTGTCTCGGCACATGGCTCTGGGTGGCCTTTCACATGTGCCAGACCTGCAGGGTGAGCCCATGACCCAGTAGAGGAGCCCCTCCTGACTGGCTCTTCCCCCTATTTAGTTCTAACCTGGAAGCAGTCACGTCAGTGGTGCTGTTGACCCCTGGCTGGACTTGGAGGATGGGAATGTCAACTGTGCAGCACCCAAGGACCTCAGGCTGTGAGGTGTTTTCAGCTTCCCCTGCCAGAACAGGGGTCTGCCGGCTGTAAGGAGTGGAGCTCTGGGGTGCAGTGTCATCCCCTCCACCCAGAGTCAGCTTGCAGAGACCTGAGACCATGCCAGTCATCACCCCACAGGACCTTCAGGTCATGCCAGGTGAAAATAATTCCACGAGAGAGTGTGATGAGATGGTTCAAGTAGGTGGGTGACTGGGAATCCACTTTGACCCATAGAGAGAATCTGGGGTTCCTAAATAGATACTAACTGCATAGCCTTTAGACAATGTACTGGAAACATTCATTTGCTCAGGTTATCGCATAGGAGCTATTGACAATTTGAAGTTGTGCTTTCTCCAGGGGTCTTTGTTTCTCTCTGAGAATAAGTCCATTCTAAAAATAGACACATAGCTGCTCCAGTTGATGTACTGAAAGAGGCTGCCTGGCAAAATGAAGACGTTTGAGTCTGTGTTCCGCCCTTTCCTGGCATTTATTTGCTCTCTTCCTCCGAGTTTACTTTTCTGTAAAATGGAGATGTAACAGTGCCTCCTCATAGGGTTGTTTGGAGGAATAAACGCATTCACATTTATAAAGCTTTTCATAAGTGCTCTATGTAGTTAAAACTGGGAGCTTTGCTCCTATGGAGATGGGATCTTCCATATACAAGAGAACAACTTACAGGAATGCCTCCAGGCAAACCAAAAGTTCCTGCAGCAATGTTTTCATACCTGAGTAGGTGCTGAATGTGTTGCCTACAGCTCTGCAGCATAGAACCCTGTGAGATGATTGACCTTGAGAATCTTTGAGGTGAGCGTACTGCCCGAGGCCGTGGGCAGACCCTAGTCCTACTCCCACGGAGGACCTGGTTCAGAGCTTCATGGATGTCTGCTAACAGCACAAGTGAACTGAAGAGTAGCTAAAGACTATAGAACAGTTGAAATTAGAAAAATTCCTACAAGGGATAAATTTTACTTGTTTAGTCACTCTGATTGTTTAGTCAATCATGTCTGGCTCTTTTGGGACCCCATGGACTGTAGCCCACCAGGCTTCTCTGTCCATGGGATTTCCCAGGCAAGAATACTGGAGTGGGTTGCCATTTCCTTCTCCAGGAGATCTTCCCCATTGAGGGATTGAACTCATGTCTCCTGATTGGCAAGCGTATTCTTTGCCTCTGAGCCACCTGGGAAGCCCCCAATTTTACTTATAGAATAGTTAACATAAAGACATTCTTTCCACTAATATTCTGGATCCAGCCAGAACCAGCTGTCTGGTGAGAGCTCTCCTGACTCTTGAGTGAGCCGTCAGAGTGGTGAAGAAGCTCGTCCTGCTTTGTGCAGGCCCTCAGCTGTAGACTGGAGTAAATAACATGGGGTGAAGTGTGAGGCCAGGGTACAGAGCTGGTGTACAGGCTTCAGAATCTCTGCTCAGTCAGATGTTGCCATCTTACCTCTTGAGATTCAGTCTCTACAGCTTGGCCTTTATCTGAGCCCAAAGCCAAGGAGGAGTCAGTGAAAATTTCAAATTATTTTTGCCAGCATTTTGACAAGGTAGTAGATGGTAAGTAACAGGGTAGATTTGCCTGAAGTTTCCTGTAAAATGCAAGCAGGCATACACTGGAGATATTATAGGTTTGATTCCAGCCCACTGCCTCACAACAACTCTCAGAGTAAAGCCAGTCACATGAATTATTTGGTTCCCAGTGCATATTAAAGCTATGTTTAAACTATCCTCTAGTTAATTAAGGATGTAGTAACATTATGCCAAAAAAAAAAATACATATTTTAATTTAAAATATTGCTAAAAAAAGATGCTAACCATCATCTGACATCACAGAGCAGGGTTGCACAAACCTTCAGTTTGTAAAAAAAAAAAAAAAAAAAAGGCTAACAAAAAAAAACCCCACCAAATCTGTTAAGCACAGTAAAATGAGATGAGTCTATCTTGGATGGTGACACCTAGACACACGGTGTTTTAGAAGAGTGGGATGTCCAGTGAGGTAATAATTTCATATATATAAGGATATAATTGCTCTTTGAAAAGCTGCATAGAAAATGGTTGAATTTATCCACATTAGCTTATAGCCCATGGAAGGATTATATACAAAATAAAAGCTGAAAGTTTTGGCCACCATTAGAATCTTTTAGTTAGAACTACTTGAAGGCTTTAACTGTGTGCTTTCATTTTAGCCTTTCAGATGAGCTCTAAGAGGGGGTTTTGCTGAATCACCTTGAAGTAAAGTCAGACCCAAAGGCAGTGAGCTGGGGGCCAAGGAAGGAGCTGAAGGGAGGGTCAGCCTACGTGTGTGTGTCAGGCCAAGAAATGGTTCAGAATTATCCAGCCTAGGAAGACTGCTATTATTCATTCTATTATGTATTATGCTATTACACTAATGCTAATATGCTGTTATGATTCTTCTACTGAATCACCTCTTTCCATATTGAACAGCATTAAATGATTTCTACATTTCCTTCATTTAGACCCCTGCTCTTCCAGACAAGTGAACATGTGGCCAGCAGCCCTGCGCTGGGGGACATAATTCCATTCAGCATCATTATTCAGTTTTTGTTCACAAGAGCACCTCCTGAGCTGAAATCCCCTTTCCAGGTAAGGAGGTGAAGTCAGAATCCTCTTACTCGTCTTCCTTCTGAACTCATTGAATGCGGGGGACTGCCCCCACCCCACCTCTAACTCACTGAAGGTTCTGGCCTTCTGCCGAGAGAAGTCATGAATTTGTGTCTTAGCAGCAAATGATTCAGGAAGGATGATTCCCACTATCCAGGCCCTACTTTCTCATCAATGTATAGATCACCTGCCGCATCTAGAATTAGCCTTTTAAATAACAGTGATGCGTGTAATTTATGTTCATAAAGCTTTTTTGACAGAGGCCCCGTTTCTTTTGCTGACCCACCTTCAATTGACAGACCCGAACGGCTCCCTGGGGTTGGGAAGGTGCACCAGGGGCCGTGCTTCCCGCCTTTGGGGCCAGTGTCTGGGGTCCTCTGATCCCAGGAGTCTCAGAGATGCTCTCCGAACCCGCGAACGCCCACAGGACAGGACGGGGTGTAGCCACTCTCCTCTGACTGCATTTCCACCCGCAGAGGGCAGAGTGGTCCCACGCACGCTTCTCCCAGTGGCTGGATGATCACCCTTCTGAGAAGGACAGGCTCCTCCTCATCAGGTAAGGCCACGTGTGGCAGGCGCACCTGTGTGTTCTCGAAGCCCAGGGCCTGGGGGCACTGGGGAGCAGTGGGGCCCAGGTAGGTGTGTGCCCATGGTGCACCCCCGGGCCTCACCTGCCAGAGCGCCGCCAAGGGAGCTGGTGGGCCCATCAGGGTTTGCTTTCTGGTTCCCTTGCATCCGCTAGGGCTGTCCTGTGCCTGATGCAGCCCCAAGAACCTTGCACTTTGAAAACCATCCTCGGATATGAAACAGCTCCTGGCCTTGGCTCTGCATTTTCTGCTTCATTTCCATGGGGGGCAGTTACTGAAGTGGTGGAGTACAGATGTGAGTAAATGTGGTGCGGTTGTTAGTAGACACCCAGCAGCCTGGTGCCTCTCAGCTGTATTTATGCACGTGAGCAGGCACATGCAGACACACACACCCCGTGCAGCCCCCACCCCCACACACCCCACGTGCACACCTGCCATGCTCAGGGAGGAATGTTTCCACTGTCACGTATACACAGATACCACACGCCCCTGCATGTGTGCATGCACACTATGAGCATACACACACACACACACACACACCATGCACCCCCCACCATGCCCAGGGGGGGACGCTTCCACTGTCACGTGTAACTTACTAAGCATCTCTCTCGCACCAGCGCCGCTCCTTTGACATTTCTCTCACCAAGACCTGTTGAGACCTCTTAGCCACCAAATCCCAATGTTTCTGTTCTCTCAGGATCACTCTGCAGCTTTAGCTGAAAGTGACACCACTTCCTTCTTAAAACTCATCCCCTGACCAACTCCACACATTTTTGTGAATGCCCACTGTGTGCACGGCCCTTAGGACACAGAGAAGCGGAGAGAGGCCCCGCCTTCTCGGGTCTTCCCCGACCGCTGGGTCATTGTTCCTGCTCCGACCTCTGTGACTGTTTTTCCCTCAGTCTCGTTTGCTGAGTTGTCTTCTGTCCACTCCTTGAATGCCATCGCTTCCCTGTGTGTCCCTGGCCCCTTTTCCTTCCTGTCAGTCTGTATCCGGTTCCCCGGTGAGCTCACTCAGACAGTGACTCTAGCGACTCTTCTGTCCTGTGACCCCGGGACTGTGGCTCCCCTTGGATACTCAGGGTCTCAGGCCGGCAAACTTGCTGTTACATGTCACCACTCAAAATCCCACAGAAATCTCAACCTCTAAATGTTAAATCAGTTTTCCTCTCAAACCTGCTCATTCTCCTAGACTCACTATCTTGGTTGGGGTATCACTGTCACCTGTAGTCAGCCAAGTTAGAAAACCTTGAAGCCATCATTCACCTCCTTGGTCACCCTCATTCTCCAAAGCCCGTCAGCTGTACCTCTTAAATCACTCTGGGAGCCATCCTTAGCTCTTCGAAGGACTCCTAACGCTGCTGGTCTGGGGAACAGCACCAAACACATTCACTTAGGCCTGAACTCGGGGTGAGTTGGGTTGTCCAAGGGTAGTGTGGGGCTCATGTGTGAAGCGATTCTCAACTGTGTTTGCACCCGGGAGTCATTTACAGAACTCTGAAAAATCCTGGTGTTGAGACCACACCCTCAACTCCCTCAGAATCTCCGGGGTTGGGCTGTGGCGTCAGGGTTTCTTAAAGTGGCTGGGCAGCTCTTTACAGTGTAGCCAGGACTAAAACCAAGTTGCCAGGTGAGAGATCCCACGGAGGAAGGAAGCTGTGGGAGGTCACGGGAGGAAACGTCAGCCCGCCAGGTCCTGGGAAGGGAACTGAGCTCAAGCTTGATGACTGGAGCCCAGGGGAGCCCCCCGCCAGCGCCTGTGTGGATAAAGTGGAGGTTGGCCCGCACCTGCTCTTCTTCCTTGCTGGTCTGTTACCCTCTCAGCTAAGAGCATCTGATCCAGAAACCGGGCAGGACGCGCGGTGATCCTGTCAGTGTCAGCCTGGTGTCTGGTTAAAGTGGTTTCAGAAAAGGCTTCCGGTGGAATGAGGGACTCTGCTTGGGGCTGCCTTGGAGGCTGTGATGTCTGTGAGTCTCCCCTGAGGCCCACAGACTCGCCCAGCTGCCACGCACCAGCTGATAGAAGAGGACGCAGGACTCAGTTAGTGGGCAGGGTGCATTTTTGTCTCAGTAAAGAGTTGGATGGAGTCGTCTGCAACAGTTGTCCTGCTGTGGGCACATCACAGATCTGTTTTCTTTTGCTTCTTTTTAAAAATGTCTCCTGAGTGATATCATCAGCAGTGCTGTTGCGAAGCCTATATTTAGCAACCGAAAATCACGCTCAGAAATACTGTCATGCTTCCTGAAGAAGGCCTGCCCATCACTGCACACATGGCTGCTGGTAGCCCCTTGCACCCTGAGCGGGGCATGAAGCCCTCCCGAGGGGTTTCAGAACACCGCTTCTCCTCTGGCCCCGGCCAACGGCAGGGAGGGGCGCTTTGTCCTAGAGAACACTCTTTCTTGTCTGTCATTGCAAAACTGGTTTCGTCCCTGCATACTAAAGCACCACGGGGTGAATTTCTTGCCCCGTAGATAAACCCAGGGTGAGTACTGTCCTTTAAATGTCAGTAAATTTGTTCTAGCTTTGGGGCAGACCTTGCTGTAGGCTCATCTGCTGCTCCCGGCGCGGTGTGTTGGGTTCTTGTAAGTAGGGCAGGTCGAGGGGACAGCAGCTGCTGCAGAACCAGTGGCAAGGAATGACCTCTCTTCTGCCTGCCTTTCTGCTGCTTTTTGACGCCAGATATTTCTCTAGAGCTTGAATGACTCCTAATCAACTTAAGAAACCAGTGACTCCTGGGGCCATGTGGGGTAAGTGGGGAAAGTGGGGAAGATGGCACCTCCCCAGCCCCCAGCAGGCAGGCACGCGTGCCCTCGGGGGGGAGGGCGGCAGCGGGAGAGCCTGCAAGTGTCGCCTGTATTCTCCGCAAAGATGAAGGCTGAGGTTTTAATGCAGATTCCTCAAGCTCTGCAGAAGAGGTAGGATTGGCTGCAAACCCACCAACTCTTGATACTGGCAGTGGGGCAGCGACTCTTCTGACTGTGGCCTCCTCGCTTTTGCTCCTCTTGAGTTCCAGTAGGGGAGCACCTTTATGGTGTCACAACTGGTTACAGACTTTATTTGCTGATTGGTACTTTGCATCTGTACAATCGTCAGACAGTTCTTTGTGCCAAGTGCATCCTTGGACCGCTACCACCCCCCACTTCGGCACCCTCCCACAGGCATGCAGGGCCCACAGACTGGGAACCATTCCCTCAAATCCTCCACTTCTGTAGGACCACAGGACCCCTATGGATGGAGAGTGAAGTTTGGTCTCATAGGAGCTGATGTTCTGGTGGCACGAGATCCCTAACCATTCTGGGAACTGGGTGCCTAAGATGAGATCCTGGGGTGGATGGAGCCAAGGGAGAGCCTGTGAAGGCACAGGTAGTTTTTTAAGTCATGTATGTGTTTTAGTATTAAGCATACTAGCATACTGATATTTCATGGCTGATAAAAATCAGTTTTGTTTTCTATAAAAACCTCCATTTATACCACAATGCAGTGTTGTCAACACAACCCCTTCCTCTACTAAATGTTTGCAGAATTCCTATGCTACTTTTTTTTCAATAAGGATAGCTTTAATAATCTTCCTATTTTTGGATACAAACCAGAGTTGAGAGTCTTACATAATGTTTGGCCCAATTTCCAAGAGAGCTGATGTTTTTTGCTCAGGCAAATGAAGTAATATAATAATTGCTTGAAAATCTTGCTCTGCTTTTATGTGGGAGGGCAGCTTTAGTCCTTTTTCTCTCCATATTTCTCATAGTTTTTGATGAACAAAACCAAAAGCACTAACCACACTGATTTCTGTTCTTCCACGTACTGTGTGGGTTTTATGTAATGCCTTACTGCTCTGAAAGCAGATGAAACTGCTACATGGATTTTTGTCCAAATATTAGATAAAATGACTCTAACCCTCTAACCCATTCACTGCAGAATGATAGTTTCTGTGAATTTCAGTGCTGTGATATCTTAGACTGATACATCCACACCATTGTCTCAAAGACAGTGGGCCCTTGGGGTTTTCTGTACTGTGTGCCAGTCTGCAGGGCCTGCATGGTGGGAGTGGGCCAAGTGCCTGGGATGCCATGGCAACTTGAATAGTATCACTAAAAGAAGCACGTTTTCCTCACAGAGAAACAGCTTCCTTTAAGCCTCAGCTCTGACATGAATAAGGCATCTCACAGAACATTGTTCTCTAAGGGCATTCATTAGATTCCATTTTGCGTGCATGTGCTTTTGCGGATCTCCTACACTCCTGCTTCTCTTATATTTACTTTCTTCAGTGCTTTTGTCCTTTTCGTCATAGTCCTATCTTCCTGTATCTAATTCATTTTTAAAACTCATTCACTGTGCATTTGTCAAGCACTAGTCCTGGGGCTACATTCATGCATGAAACTGTTGTTATATCGTAAGAGCGAAACTCCCCAGCACAGAGATCCTTACACTGCAGTGTGATCGTGTGGGCAGAAGGGTGAAGACCTGCTCTTGACATAGAGAATCTGAGGCCATCAGAAGTACAGTGGGGGGACCTCCCTGGTGGTCTAGTGGCTAAGACTCTGAGCTCCCAATGAAGAAGTGCAGTGGGGAAAACCGTGTTGGAGGGCTGCATAGGTTCAGAGGTGTATAGAAGAGAGCCAGGTGCCTCACAGGACAAGCCTTTAATTCTAACTAAATCTTGTGGGTATTCTTCCCACTTTGCCGATGGACAGGCTCAAGACACAGTCTAGATCACACAGCTTGGTCGGGGGGCAGAGCCTAATGTACCAGCTGTGCTTTTTTTAAAAAAATTATTTATGGCGGGGGCTGGGTCTTTATTGTATGCCTGGGCTTTCTCTAGTTGTGGCGAGCAGGGCTGCCCTCTAGCTGCGGTGCCTGGGCTTTTCAATGCTACGGCTTCTTGTTGTGGCTCGAAGACTCTAGTGCAAACTCAGTAGCTGTGGCACACAGGCGGGGTTGCCCTGCGGCACGTGGGATCCTCCGGACCAGGGATGGAACCCGCATCTGCGTTGGCAGATAGATTCGTAACCACTGGGCCACCAGGGAAGTCCCCGGCTGTGCCTGCCAGGCTTCCACTCCCGCCCACCCGCACGCCCTGCGCTGTTCGTTTCTGGGTTGCTTACTTTACTGTGAGTAGTGAAGTATGAAGCCGGCTTTCAGAGATCCACCCCCAATGCTGGGTCCTGCTAAGCTGTGCCATTGGAACAGCAGTCCTAGACTTTTTCACTTCTTGTCACTCCAGGGTGGTTCGTTTTGTGCTGCCTGGAGTTAGGAAAGGCTTTATCAAAAACAAGGCACTTGAGCTGGTCCTAAGTAAAAGCTCTACAAGGAAGAAGTGGGGTGGGATGGTGGGGGGTGGGGTGGCGTGTGTTGGCATTCCAAAGATAAGGACAGCTGGTCCCGAGGAAGGCTCTCACTAACTTAAAGACTGACTCTCACTAACAATGAGATAGTGTGGACGAAGGGAAACAGGCCTCTTTTTGGAGCTCTACTTTATTTTAGAGTATTTGCACAGGCACGCAGTCTCTTAGTGGGTGGCCATAGGGGTTGGGCTCTGCCTGTGTCGGTACCACAGACAACAGAACTTAATGATTTGAGGGTCTTTTTAGGCACAGCAGAGTCTGGGACCCAGCAGTGACACAGTTGGGGAAGGCTGACGATGAAGCTGGTGTGCAGTGGGGTTGTGAACGTAGACTGTCCCGGGAGCAGGAGGGCGTGGCGGGTGGGCGACCAGAGGCAGCCGCCCTGGCTGTAGTGTGGCAGCTCCTCTAGTGCAGGCCTGATGGCACTGGGCTGACCACCACCCACAAGGCTACGCCAGTATTAGGGCATAAAACGGCAGGATTCAGACTGAAGCTGAGGTGAGAGGAGGGACCAGATGTGGTAATACGTTGTTCAGTTGCCAGGTCATGTCCGACTCTGTTTCCCCATCTATTGCAGCACACCAGGCTCCTCTGCCCTTCACCATCTCCCTCAGTTTGCTCAGACGCCTGTCCACTGAGTCAGTGATGCCATACAATCATCTCATCCTCTGTCACCCCTCTTCTTCCTGCCCTCAGTCTTTCCCAGCATCAGGGTCTTTTCCAATGAGTGGGCTCTTCTCATCAGGTGGTCAAAGTATTGAAGCTTCAGCTTCAGCATCAGTCTTTCCAATGAATATTGAGGATTGATTTCCTTTAGGATGGACTGGTTTGATCTCCAGCACAATTCGAAAGCATCAATTCTTGGGTACTCAGGTGCTCAACCTTCTTTATGGTCCATAAAGTCACATCTATACATGACTACTGGAAAAGCCATAGCTTTGACTATACAGACCTTTTTTGGGCAAGTGATGGCTGTGCTTTTTCATACGTCTAGGTTTGTCATAGATTTCCTTCCAAGGAGCAAGCGTCTTTTAATTTTGTGGCTGCTGTCACTACTCACAGTGATTTTGGAGACCAAGAAAATAAAATCTGCCAGTTTCCACTTTTCCCCATCTATTTGCCATGAAGTGATGGGACTGGATGCCATTTTAGTTAGTTGAATATTGAGTTTTAATCCACCTTTTTCACTCTCCTCTTTTATCAAGAAGCTCATTAGTTTCTCTTTGCTTTCTGCCATTAGAGTGGTATCATCTGCATGTCTGAGATTGTTGATATTTCTCGCAGCAATCTTGCTTTCAGCTTGTGATTCATGTAGCCTAGTGTTTTGCATAATATACTCTGGCTGTAAGTTAAATAAGCAGGGTGACAAGATACAGCTTTTGACATACTCCTTTCCCAAGAACCAGTCGTTTGTTCCATGTCCAGTTCTGTTGCTTCTTGACCTGCATACAGGTTTCTCAGGAGACAGGTAAGGTGGTAACATGTAAATTAATAGGACTTGAAAACTGGTTATTTGTAGGACTGAAACAGTTTTAGATATAGACTATGGGGAGATGATGGTCACTTTACTGAAATAGTAAGGGGGCAAATACGACTCTTCTGTAGGTTTTTTACCAAAGGTTTGTGTTTTTTCCTTTTTTATGTCATTTTATTTTTTAGAGCAGGTTCAGGTTCACAGCCAATTTGAGAAGGTAGAGATTTTTTCCATATGCCCCCTACCCCTACATGCATGGCCTCCTCCATTATCAGTACCCCTCCAGTGGCCTTCATGTTACGGCTGGTGAACCCATACTGACACTGTCATCTGGGGTCCACAGCTGACATTGGGGTCCCCTCTTGGCAGTGTGCATCTTGTGGGTTTGGATGGCCCGAGGTTTCTGACAGGTGAGTCTGAGAATCCTGGCAGGAATCAGATAAAGATTTCCAGAATGCAGAGATAAGTAGGTCGGTCAGGACAGGAAATTAAGAGATCCTCCAATCTCTTAATTCAGTTCCATATAAAACCATGACAGTGGGTAGCAAGGTTGAGGGGTGCCATGGCCTGAGCACTGAACTGGCCACACTCCCATCAAATATAGTCCCTGTGGCTGAATGAAAATAATGACCAAACCTGACAGAGGACTATTTTTTTTTTGAGTGTTTGGGAGCAAATAAAACAGGTCAGAATTACGTATTAGATGAGATGGTATGTGAGCTATGATAGCTATGGAAATGCTCTGGAGTGTGTGATTTCATGATTATAACAAAAATTTGATTGTTTTACTTGGAACTTAAATAGACCAATAATGAAAAGTATGCATAAATGAACAAGCATAGGTCTGGACTTGATCTGTGCTATAGTTTGCTGACCCCCTGATCTGAGAACATTATCATACCTGTTGCTAACCCCCTGATCTAACTGAGAACATTATCATACCTGTTGCTAAATTCAGGCTGTCTTATCACAGTCTGCCAACAACTGGAGCCTAGGAACAGTTTACCCTACTTGTGGGTTCACATTCTTTAGGTAAGGAATATAAAGCCCCCGCCCCGTGCAGTCCACTCCGCGGTGCAGGGCGCCCCCTTGTGAGCTCTGTGCAGACACCGGCTGCACTCGGCTCTGCAGAAGTCTCTGTGGTAGGAATCTTGGCTGCCAGAGCCTCCAATTGTGTGATGAGACCACCAAGTGCAATGCAGGTTGAAAACTGTGCACAACTCTGCACCTTAACCACAGGAACCCTACTGACAAACGTTTTGAGGGTCACTGGTTGACTCAACAAAGCAGAAATGAGCTTCTTTTAAACGTTGGCATCCTCCAAGCTGTTTTGTTTCATCTGTATAGCCTTCTGACATTGTTTTCCTTTGGTTTTCAGGGGTGCCCTGGAAGCTTATGTTCAATCAGTAAGAAGCAGAGAAGGCAAAGAATTTGCACCGGTTTATCCAATAATGGTTCAGCTGCTTCAGAAAGCTATGTCTGCTCTTCAGTAAGAATGTGAAGTATTTCTTAATCTCCATTTTGTGCTAACCCATCCAGGGGTGGCAAATACATACTCTAGAAGACAGCTACCGTCTACTGTTTCATGAATATAATCGACTGTTCTCTGTTTCCTATTGACCTCTTTACCTCTTAAGCCCTTCTACCTTGAGTAGCATGAAGTGTCAAAATAGATTCGTGAGCACCACCTGTAACTCTGCAGAGCTTATTTTTCCAAAAAGATACCAAACTCTTCTCTCCCATCAGGTTTTCCTATGAGCCTGTCTAAAACTTCTTAACCGTCACGCAGTCCCCACAGCTTAAGGGATAGGGTCAAGTTAGTAAATACGCTGCTTCTCCCCAACTGGCATCTTTTCTTGCTGGATAAGTAGTTAGCCCAGTAGTTTCCATTATTTGGCTGCACATTAGAATCACTGGTAGCTTTAAATAATCCCGATGCCCAGTTTGTGCTCCGTATTAACATGTGTGGGGGTAGGAACCATGCATTACTTCTTTTTAACATCCTGAAATGTTTCCAATGTGCCACAGTTTGGGACCCGCTGGCACATCCCGAAGCTGAGATGTAGGGCTCAATGTTGTTTAACCGTGTCTTACTGTAGCTTTAATAATAATAAAGTGATACACTTGCTCTAAGAGCAGACTTTGGGGGCTGTTCTACTTTATAACAGAGATGCCAAGTTAAAAATTAACTTTTACTCTGAAAGGAGTCTTATAAATAGTAATCTGGGTCCTTCTTTCTATTGCCCTTGCCTTGTCGTTAACATTTTAAAGTTTAAAATCCCACAAGCCACTTGTTAAATGTTTTCCATTTCCTCAATCTATTATTCTGATTGCTCATTCATAAAGTTCAGTCAGGATAAACCAGAAGTCAGGGATAAACAATTTTTTTCATTTTATTTGAAATAATATACAAGAATATAGTGTGCAAAATTTAGGGGCAACATCATGAAGAAGTGTAATGAACTGAAATCAATTTTATAGCTGTGATTCCTAACCAGAAACACCACTTGGTAAGTAACATGAAAAGCCATGATTGTAGCTCAGAGCAAAAGCAGCTCTATTGCCAATGTGTTTGCTCTCAGTGTAGACAGCTGGAGGAAAGTAAAGTGCAAGTGTTGCACTGCGTAAGTGCAAAGTCCGCCCCCACCATAGATACGATGACAAATAACAATATTAAGATACGTGGCTGAGGAGATATAGGACACAAAATTAAAAATACAATGGTGTCAACTGTTAATAGCACCATTACAGTGACTATATCCCAATGCTATTAACTAACTTTACCTTGGCCTGGGCTAGGTCTCCACTGAAGTCAAGGGTGGGTGTGTCCAACTCGGCATGCTCCAGGAGCCGCGGCAGGTGGCTCTTAGGCTGGCACCGACACCATCCACCGGCCCTGTGTCCTGGCAGCCTCTTGGCACTGGCCAGACTAGGAGCCCCCATGTTTGGCACAGATGCTGAGCCATGTGGTGGTTGCTCAAGGAAGGCCAACTCCCGGCTTCTGCTTCAACCCATTATGTGTACAATACAGATTAATAAGCAGTAAGGAGCCAATGTATAAACAGCAGTTACATATTTTTAAATTCCCCTTTTGTACAATTTAAAATAAAACATGTATACACTTCTCCTCTCTTTTCTACTGTACTTTAGCACCACAGGATATCAATTTTCAAGCCTATATTACCTGATAGACATATATGAAGTTTGGAAGAAAAATAAGGCAATTTGGTTTACAATGTTGATAGTTTTAGCTTACTTAATGCTCTAATGGAGAAAGCAAATCCTCACTCATATTATTAAATCATTTCAAGACTCAATGCTATCGGTATCTTATGGTCACACGGATTCAGGACAAATAGATCTTCATCTTCTTAAATCTTTCCATCAACAGTCAATGTTTAAGCAAATACAGACTTAAGAACATAAGCATCCTGTTTAATGTTGTTGTGAGCCCTGTGGAGATAAAATTAAAACTCAGTGAATGTTTACAAATCAATACATAATTAATTTTACAAATGAAAGCTAAGATGGATAACATATTAATAACCATACTATTAAAAAAGATTGCTTTCTCAAAAGTGGTAGATTTTTTAAAGTTTGCTAATACCCAGTGGTCCAACAAACCAGAAAATTTATGAAAATGAGACGCAAGAGATGGACTAGGATGAGCAGAAATGAAAAGGGATCCAGGCAAAGTTCTACCACATGGAATCCTAAGGTAATAACTTAAAAAACCCAGTCCAGTCATGTTCTTATATTGGAATCTGACTACTTTTAAAAAAGAATTCTTAAGTGGATGTGAACTACGTGTTACTGTAATAGAAATAGACAAATACACGGGATGAATTAGAACATCCTTGGCCAGCACTCCTGCTGCAAAATACTGTCGTCCCTTTGTTTTTAAGTGAAATTTCAAATTAACCTCATTCTATCATGTGAAGTTTTCTTGTAATTAGTCAAAAACACAACTTAAGAAATGCCAGTCTACTAATGGAGAAGTTCTAAGAAACAAGTCTGTCCGATAAAGCATTATTATGGTGCAAACTTGTTTACCAGCCTTCCCAATTTTCGATTTCTTCTCCATCCTGAGATTTTTTAACCTAGAAATTCTGGGCAAATGTCAGAAGTCCCTATGAAAGTTGGTTAACTTATCTCTACCTCCACTGTCCTTACCCATCACCAACTAAGAAAAGCTGTTGAGACATAACACCCCAAATTAGAAAATTTTTCTGCTGTGATATTAATGAGTTAATAATCCTTATCTTTCAACCCAACTAGAAATACATTCCAAATCTTTCCACTTCGGCATCTCCAGCAAACATTTCTACTTTCCATGCTAAAAGAGTGAATGGCACTAATGATGAAAGGCAGCCTGCCTTACATGGTGACGGGCAAACACTATTAGGCTCTGAAAGATATAAAGGCTGAGAAACAGCTTTAACACCCTTTTAAAGGTTCTAACAAATGCTCCAATATGACAGTACAGTTTTATAGGTAAGTCAGGATCACTTTAAGGAACTACTTGTTGAAACATACTGAATTGGTTCTTTTCCTCTTCCAACAGTCAGGATTTAAACGTTTTTGTTCTTCAGCCAAAGCCTTTGCTTCTAATGTATACATCCTCCTCTCTTCATTCTTCATTTTCTTCCACCTGTCACCAAGGATCACACTTATGGCTCTATAAAATAAACATTCACACAACGTTGAAGGCAAGAATTTTTCAGAAAACTCACGTCAAGTGCTCCTACTTCAGGAAGAAATACAAAGTTGAAAAACAAAAATCTTGTCCAACACAGAGAATAGGAAAGGTCAAGACTATAGTAGTCATTTCCAGTAAAATCCTAAGTCATATGGTCCATTCATCATAATCTTGGCAGTTAAAGCCTCCTGGAGTAGGAACAGTATTTCCGATTGTCAGAGAACATCTAAAATGGCTAAAAATTGGGTATTTTATACAGCTTTGATTTGAAGGAAGAAAAAAAGTATTTCAAAGAAACAGTTTAAATTATCATTGGGTACATCAGTTTTTCAAAAATGTTTGAGATATTAAGGCAGTGTTTAGTATCAGCAGCATAAGTAGCCACCTTCTATTAAAAGCTCTTCTTTTCTTTGTGCCCATAACCCCTCAAGTAGTCTTTTTACTTTCATGCAACCATAGTGAAAATACAATGGCATTAACTATGCACTTACTGCTTATCTCTTAAAGATACCACCAAATAAACCTTAGGCATCATTTGTACTTTAAAATGGATAAATTCAAGGAGGAAAAAATCAAACTGGTAAAACATCAGGACTGAAATCTGAAGCTGTTTCCTATTTACTAATCGAAGGGCTTCCCTGGTAGCTCTGATGGTAAAGGATCTCCCTGCAGTGCAGGGGACCCAGGTCCAATCTCTGGGTGGGGAAGAGCCCCTGGAGAAGAGAATGGCAACCCACTCCAGTATTCTTGCCCAGAGAATCTCATGGACAGAGGAGTCTTGTAAATGGGGTCTCGAAGAGTAGGGCACAACTGAGTGACTAACACTTTCACTTACTAATCTGCTCCCAAACCTACTATAATAGTCTCATCCAGGACAAGCAGACATAACTATTTTCCTTCTGTGCAGAGCTTAACCCTTAGTTAACTCTCAAATTCAAGACATTCACATGAAAAAGAAGTCTGCAATGACTCTGTAGTGCATACAAAAGATTTCACAATGGCTGATATGGAGGCTAGAAAACTGGCCTCTAAGCTTTAGAAAAACAGTCACCACAGATGCTCTACTCGAAATTTAAAATGTTATAAATGTATGGATTTTTTAATAAGTCGATGCAACTAAACATTGTTATCTTTGATTAAAATAAAAACCAATTTTTATAGTCTCTGGGTTAAAGGTACCATATAATGGTTGATACATGTACTACTTGATTACAGAGTATTCACATATGTATCAATTCCCAAGTCACATATATATTTGGTAGAAGAAGCTTCTCTTTTTAATAAAAATAAAAGTATTTGGGATGGGCAAAATGGGTGAAGCTGCTCAACAGGTACAAACTTCCAGATATAAAATAAGTGATGGGCTATAATGTACAGAAGGGTGAGCACAGTGAGTAATAAATACTGTGGTGTATTTGAAAAGTGCTAAGAAAGCTGATCTTAAAAGTTCTCATCACAAGAAAAAAAATTCCTAATCATGGTGATGTATATTAATTACTTATTGTTGCTATCATTTTATTATATGCAAATAGCAAAGCATTATGCTATACACCTGAAACTTAGCATGTAATATGTCAGTAGCATCTCAAATATATGTATATAAAAAGAGATGAGTCATTCAAACCTGATTCAAAGCTGAATTATTCTATGTGCATAATCATTTGACTTTTGTCATAATATTAATATGGGTAAGGGAGCTAGGAAGAATGGGAAACATAATTTGTAGAGACCTTGGTTTGAGGAAATGAATAGTAGAGGATTCCAAGATGAGGTAACGGTACAAGGGAACAGTAGGAAGGACTAGCATTAACTTTTATCCCTGAGCTCTACTGAGGATACCTCTGCGTTTAGTCTTTTGGCAAATCTGGCAGTCATTAGAAACTGTCAATGCCTGCAAACTCCATGGTATGACACAGTTGTAGAGTACCTCCTTGAGGTCTGACAAAAGAAGGTGCTAGTCTTTCCTATAAAAGTGGAACAGCTGTTAAAACTAAGTCCTCTAACAGGCAAGTGACATTTAATATTATTTTAGAAGGCAGACCGTTACCTCTTAGGTAACCTAATTATGTCTTAACTTTTACTTTAAAGCCAACCTGTACAACAGAATTCAATAATGAAAGCTACTGAAGAATAAGTTGATTTAATTATTCTAGTTCCTATGAACTCCATAGAAGTATTATTCAATTATCACAGTCAGAATCATCACTATTTTTACCTGTTATCTTTCCCTGGATACATCTGAGTATATTCAACTCTGTATTTTTTGGCAAACAGCATGAAGGCATTCATTGGTCTTTTGCACTTGTTAGGAGAAGTGGCACTCACAGTCCCTGAGCCGTGGGTTTTGACAGCTTTAGCATACAAAGAACTGGGAGAGAGCTGCGACGACCCCGGCGAGCCACAGTTCTTACTGAATCCAGATCTTTCGAAGTCTTGACCTCCAGGTCCTCCACAAGACAGAGACGCACGACGCTGGCGAGCCATACTACTTAGCACGTAAACGGCAGAAGAATCCATAGGCGTGAAATCATAGCTATAAATAAATAAGTTTAATTCAGTACAATTATCTGATTTGTAAAAACAGGATTAAAAAAAAGTATCCTTAAGATCTGATTGGAAACTTAAAGTGTATTTTACCTTAAATACTACCAACACTACTTTAACAACTTCACCTTTGACAGTTGTTTATAAGATGAAAGCTTATCTGTGCATTTACTAAAATTGGTTCTTTTAATCTTGAGAATACAAAAAGTTTTTCTTAATTACTTCACCCCTCCCTACCCCAAAGGAATTTATTATAATCCACATACTTTATTCATAGCTAACACCTACTTCAGATCCCATACAACTCACTTATTCCTACTTTTTGGACAAATCTGATAATCTATTTTGTTGACCTACAGAAGCCTGAAACTAAAAAAATTTAAACAGTAGCAGGCATATATACCAGGCCTAAGGACTAACTGCTACAGAAGATAAGATGTTGGCTAAGGACAGGGAGAAATGGTTAAATATAGCTAAAGGAACTTAAAATGCACAGTAGCCCAATCACTTGTTTAGGTACAAGCAGTCACACATGCATAAATCTCCCCTAAAGGCGATCCACATAACACAGCCTAAAACTTAAAACATCCACATTTGTCAGAAAGGTTACATTTCGTCTGATATATTCAGTTCATACAGGTATCAAAGTAAGTTCTCCATATTATCTCTTACTTTCTTACCAAGCTTGCTTGGTGATTATTATCCTCTCTATATGAAGAAACAGGCTAAAAAAAGGTAAAGGATCATTCACCCACAGCCTCGCAGCTATTAGCTCTAAATCCTCATGTCTGTCTGTCTCCAAAGCCCCGGGTTGCCTCAGCAATACCACAGTACTCTGTACCATTGTTTGCAAACCTCAAGGTGAATAATCATCAGATTTA